TGTATTATATTGTAATTAATTTTATTAATACATTCTTAATTTATTTACTAATTATACATCTCATAAATTTTTGTATCTACCGTAACAATAACACAATACGACGGAGGGAGGATTTAAGTAGATGTAAAAAATAGTCCATTTAAATAATATAAATTTGACAAATATAATAAATAAAATAAAAAGTATGCATAAATTTATGCTCATGGAGAAAGTATGATTAGTTATTATTAGTAGTAGTTCTCTTTAAGAGCTTATACAACCATTCTTACATAAAATTGTCTCTCTCTTTTTTCTTTTTTTTTTTTTCTTTTTTTTTTTTATAACGTGAAATTAACAATTGTTACTTTTTGAGTGTGTTCAGAATAATTTTTTAATCGTACTTAAAAGTCTGCAAATTAGACTTGGTAAAACAAGTTATACTAAGCGAGAGGAAGAGAAATAAAATGACATTGTCTCGCATGGAAAAATGAAATAAAGTTCACCCACCATATATTGTATTAGACTTCAAAACTAATAAAAAATAAATTTGGAGCATAGATTGAATTGGGCTAATGCTTGTACTTGAGCTTGGACTTTAGTTGGTTGAGATATATGGAGGCCTTAAATTTCTTTCAAAACCTTGCGAAATTTCTCCGAAGTTTCTATTTATTTTTTTGGTTTGCGGAAATCGCCTAATTCACGAGGCTTGGGTTCGATTTTTTAAATTTTGGATCAATAACTTCGGATTTCTCCGATCTCAGATTTCCTTTTGATCTCAACACTATGTATGGTAGACAATTTGAAAACGTCGAGGGTTTGAATTGATAACTTTACAGTCACGAGTCCATTGTCGCACCACAAGTTCACGAGTAACGTAAAATTGTCTCTATTGGTTGACGTGTGTTTGTTTGGGGGATTGGATTTTAAATATACTATTCATTTCATTTTTTCCCTCAAAAAATATAAAATCAAATACCTATTTTTTATTTTTTATATTATACTAAAAATTAATTTTACATTCAAAATATTACATCAACACATATTTATATCACATTATACAACTATTCAAATTCAAAATTTTTACTATTCAAATCCCAAATCAAAATCCAAAACCCCAAACAAACACACCCTAAGATGTGATGTGTTTATTTTAACCTTTGACACAAATATAAAAAAGAATAAAGAAAATATATGGTCCTATTTTTTTATTTTTTTATTTTGTTTTTGTTTATAGTTGTTTTTAAATAAAAACAATTTTTTTGAATGATTTTAAAATATGATAAAAAGAAGAGGATAACATTGTCAAATAAGTAGACAATGATGCAGATTTAATTAATAAAATTTTATTTATTTATTATTATCAATATTTAATTTTTTTTAATAAAGATTGTAACAAACGTGTGCTTTTTTCTTTTTATTATTATTTATGTTCCCTCTTTTTAATATTTTAAATAAATCATTATTAAATATAATATTAACTTAAGACAAATTTAAATATTAAATAATTAAAAATAGAAAAAACAAAATTTTCAAGCAAATTTAAACCATCGTATCAATACTTATTTATATCACGTTATACACTTGTTCAAATTCAAAATTATTACTATTGAAATCCCAAACAAATATCCAAACTCTCAAACAAACACGCCCTTAAGAAAAATCTCATGGATTAATAAAAGCATAAATGACCAAAAGAATTTGCAATTTCAAATTGAAATCAACACTTTTTGAATAACAATATACAACTATTTTCTTTTAAAAAATATCACATAAAAATATTATTTAAATAAAAAATTCTAATCAATCCTCAATTTCAAATTAATTTCAAACAACAGCCAAACAATAATGACTTTGTGAGATTAATGATCATTCCCTCTTCAAAAATGATCACACCATTTTTGGAATATGAAAATGTTAATTTTTATTCAATTTTCACATATCATCGTCTGAAGATACTGTAAAGTGTGTTTCTTTTGGTTGAGTTTGAGAAAATTTGGTTTGAATTTTGTATTTAAATAATATTTCATGAGATATTTTGTGAGAGAAAAAAAAAATATATTTTTTTAAAAAAACGCAGAGTCCAAATAATAAAATTTGAAGAAATTGAGGTAAAGAAACAGACCCTAGAAACACATTTCCTGTTGTACCAATGATGCCTTATTAGATTACTTTGCAAGATATTTTGTTATATGATTATCATAAAGAATATAAGTATTTAATTTTTATTTGTATTTTTTCTTTGGGAAGTGTTCTATTTATATTGGTTTGATTATTTTAATCTCCCCCATGTTATTTCATTGAAAAAAAAAAATAAACTGACTATAGATTTTATGAATGAATAATATATTGGACTCTAATTATGCCCCAATATATATAATGTCTGTATTTAATTTATTGTATATGATTGCTGCAAAGAAATAATTTTCTATTAATCAATTTATTCTTGAATTTGTTCCCTCATCTTAGAATGAAAATAAAATAATCACGATACTTATAACTTTTATCGGAGAAAATTCAAAGAAAACGCAATAAATAAAATACTGAATATTTTATACATTTATAATAAAATAGAAATAAATATTATACAATTTACCCTTATTTATTATTAAAAAATATGTGGATTTGGTGGTGAAAGTAAAAACTTTAATTTGAGTTTGTTAGAATTATTTTATATTGCCTATGTATATTTTATATTGTATATTATTATTATATTATTATTATTATTTTAAAATTGAGGTGGAGACCATTAAAAGAAATAGATATACGACTTTTGGAAGACGACTTTGATGAGAATATATAGAGAGAGCAATGTGTTTTTATTACAGTGCCGCCAATAATTAATTTAAATTAAATCCAAAAGAAAATTTTGTATTGATTCCTCACTACCAACCAACCAACTAACCAAACCCCTCCAAGTATAACGGTCTATTTCTTTTGTATATATATTATTTTTTATAGTAATTTAATACTTATTTATTTAAGAAAAAGAAAATGAGTATATTTTTTAAAAGATTGAGAATTGTATAATTAAGTTGACAATATATATCTTGAGTTAAATGTATTTTTATATGGGGTTTGGATTTTGAGTTGAGATTTGAACAGTAAAAATATTGAATTAAAATAGTTGTACGATGTAATGCAAATAGATGTTAATATGATGTTTTGAATGTAAAAATAATTTTTAGTATAATATAAAAAATAAAAAATAAATGTTTAATTTGATATTTTTTTTAGAATAAAATATGATAGAATAGTTAAAATCCTTACAAATCCTCCAAACAAACACACGTATGTGTGTGTAGATTATTATAGGTTATTAGTATGCAACGTTTGTTCTATGTTATAGCACAACTATAGTCGTTCTGATTATTGTGTTGATTGGATGTTAAGTTCATCTTATAAACACATGTTATAAAAAAAATACTACTCTCTCCGTCCCGGAACAAGGGTGGCGTTTGCTTTTTGCACGTAGATTTTTTAATATTAGTAATATATTGGATTGTTGTGAAAATGACGAAAATACCCCTATTAGTATTGTGTAATATAAAAGTAATGACATTTGTGTAATATTGTAAGTTGGAATGATATTTATTATGTTAGATATGTAGTACAATTACTAAATTAGAAAATGGTAACCTGTTTTGGGACGGACAAAAATAGAAAATGGCAACCTTTCAATGGGACGGACGGAGTATATTATATTATTATTATAGTTAGTACAATATATTTTGATTTTAGCACAATAAGTGAATTATATAACACACTACATAGTGTATAACTCACACTTCAAATATTAATACAAGATATAACACATGTTATATTTCCTTCTGTTCCATTGAAATTGTGACGTATACTTTTTTACGTAAATTTTTTAATATTAGTATTATATTGAGTTGTAGTAAAAAAGATAAAAATACCCCTATTAGTATGTGTAATATACAAATAATGATATTTGTGTAATATATTGTATGTTGAAAAGATATTTATTATTTTAGATAGGTAGTACAACTACTAAATTAAAAAATGATAACCTTGTTTTAAAAGAGACATAAATAAAAAATGACAACCTTTCAATGTGACAGGAGAGAGTATAATTTTATGTAATACAATAAAAAAATTATAGAAATAACACACTATATAACCCACCTAGCATATGCTATCTATTTTTATAATAAAATTTTAATTATTTCTAGTTAGTGTGTTAATTGGTCAAATGGGTACAATGTTGATGTGAACCACATCCAATTATAATACTCTTCAAAGTATCTTTTTTATTATTTTTGTCCGTCTCACTCTATAGAATTTTTTTTTCTATTTTAGAAAAAATAACAATATACTAATACCAAAATACTTTTTTAACTTTTACATGAATTACAAGTATAATATTACACATACAATTACTTTACATAAAAAATCATAGGGCAAAAATATAAAATCTCTTATACACTTCTACTAACCAATAAAATATTATTACTTTTTAATCTATTGCAAAACTCCAAAGGGTCCCTTTCATTTGGGATGGAACCGTTTACAAACTAATGTGTTATTTTTTTATTTAGGATGTCCAACAACTATTGTCTTATTTTCTCTTTTAAACACAAATTTATTTTTTTTTATCTTTTATTCATTTACTAATTTTAATCTCTATTATACCGTTAAGAACAAATTTGTCTTTTTGTTTAATCTCTATCATACAATTAAGATCAAATTTGTCTATTCATAACAAAAAGACAATTATTTAAAAAATAGTGGAAATATATTTTAAAACAATATAAATTGGACGAGGAGAATATTAAATATATTATATTTGTATTAGGTTAATATTATATTTTCGATTTATATTTGATGTTATCTAATTAGAGTAATTAAAGTCGGCAGTGCGTATTATGAATTAGACAATGTAACATAAACTTGTCATTCATTAATTCATTCAGTCACAGCTAAGGGACATTAACTGCTTTCACCTGCCTTCATTTATTGCTCTTTACATTATTATTATTATCCCTTCCCTTTATATCCTTCCCTTCCCCTAAACATTTCCGACTATCCTCCTCCGCCTTCTCCCCTCCGCCGCCGCCGTCATGCCTCAACAAAGAACTTCCGCCGCCGCCGCCGCCGCCGCCGCGAGGCTCAAGTACGTGAAGCTCGGCTACCAATATCTCGTCAACCACATCGTCGCCTTTCTCCTCGTCCCCATAATTGCGGCGGTTTTCGTGAAAATACTCAGCCTGGGAGACGACGACGTGGCGGCGCTCCGCCTCCGCGCGGCGCAGCTCTCGGCGGCGGAGATACTCTCCTCCGCCTTCGCGGTGGTCGGCGTGGCGACGGCGTATTTTATCTCGAAGCCGCGCGCGATATACCTGGTCGACTACGCCTGCTACAAAGCGCCGGTCATGTGCCGCGTGCCCTTCTCGACCTTTATGGAACATTCTAGACTCATCCTCAAAGATAACCCCAAAAGCGTCGATTTCCAGATGCGGATTCTAGAAAGATCCGGCCTCGGCGAGGAGACCTGCCTCCCGCCGGCGATTCACTACATTCCGCCGACGCCGACGATGGAGTCCGCCAGAGGCGAGGCGGAGGTCGTCATCTTCTCCGCCATCGACGCGCTGATGGAGAAGACCGGAGTTCGTCCCAAGGACATCGACATTCTCATCGTCAATTGCAGCCTCTTCTCGCCGACGCCGTCGCTGTCCGCCATGGTCGTCAACAAGTACAAGCTCCGGAGCAACGTGAAGAGCTTCAACATCTCCGGCATGGGGTGCAGCGCCGGAATAATCGCCGTCGATTTAGCTCGAGATCTCCTCCAAGTTCACCCAAATTCCTACGCCCTAATTGTCAGCACAGAAATCATTACCCCAAATTACTACCAGGGAAGTGAACGGGCGATGCTCCTCCCCAATTGCCTCTTCCGGATGGGCGGCGCCGCCATCCTCCTCACCAACAAACGCCGGGAGAGCCGCCGCGCGAAGTACAAGCTGGTGCACGTGGTCCGCACGCACAAAGGCTCCGACGACAAAGCGTACAAGTGCGTGTACGAGCAGGAGGACCCCGCCGGAAAAGTCGGAATCAATCTCTCAAAGGATTTAATGGTGATCGCCGGCGAAGCTCTGAAATCGAACATCACGACGATCGGTCCGCTTGTCCTGCCGGCGTCGGAGCAGCTCCTCTTCCTCTTCACCCTAATCGGCCGGAAAATCTTCAACCCTAAATGGAAGCCGTACATCCCTGACTTCAAGCAAGCTTTCGAGCACTTCTGCATCCACGCCGGCGGGCGGGCGGTGATCGACGAGTTGCAGAAGAACCTCCAGCTGTCGCCGGAGCACGTGGAGGCGTCGCGGATGACTCTCCACCGGTTCGGCAATACGTCGTCGTCTTCCCTCTGGTACGAAATCGGATACATCGAGGCCAAAGGGAGGATGAAGAAGGGCGATCGCGTCTGGCAGATTGCGTTCGGAAGCGGATTCAAATGCAACAGCGCCGTCTGGAAGTGCAACCGGACGATCAAAACTCCGGCGGAGGGGCCATGGGAGGACTGCATCCACAGGTACCCTGTGCACATTCCAGAAATAATCAAGCTCTAATTAATTAAATTAAATTAATTAAATAATTGATCGGTCAATCAATCAATCAATATTTATACTTATATTTATATATATATATATTATATATAAATAAATGTAAGATTACTATAACTACTACTACCACTACGTATTATGGTGCTGGTACGGTGGGTGTGTCGTCTTCTTCTTCCATTTAATTTTATTTAAATTTTTTGGGGGGTTCGAAATTCGATCAGGATTTAATTAATTAGATCCAGTTCGTCATGATCGTGTAATGTTAATTATTTTTCCCATTCAGAATTTTAATTAATTAATTAATTAATTATCCATGATCCAATTTAGCAGTAATTAGTTTCTTGTTATTTAAGTTTAGTTAATGACGTTTAAGGATGGACAGACAGCCAACAGGCATTGTTTGATTTGCTTCTTCATGATCATCACTTTCTTTAATTAATTTTATGTCCTCTCTAATCTAAATCCAATCCACACAAAAAAATTATTACTAATAAATTAATCAAAATTACGGATATACGAAAATTAAATAAATAATTAATCAATTATATTAGCTAGGGTTTAGATTTAACAGAGACAGCAAGACAGGTGTCAACACAATAAAGAAGTGTCCTGCTGCACTTCATCTCTCTCTCTCTCTCTCTCTCTCTCTATATATATATATATATATAGATAGATAGATACATATAAATGGAGAGTAGTTAGATTAGTAATTGATGGAAGGCTAAGGCCACCATGAACGTAAAATAAAAGCTTTTTTTTTTTTTTTTTTTAATTTGTGAGGCATTTAAAATGTTCTAAAATCTCATTCATCCCAGCAGCTAGCTAGCTGTTTGTATGTTCTCTGAGTAGATATTGCAAAATTTAAGGCAGTTGGTGTGTGTCTATATGCATATATATATATATATATGTATCTACACATGCATTTATAATGTTAATAGTATGTACTTTCTGGGTCATATTTGAAAGGGTCTAATGGGTTTTTTTTGGTTTTAGATTAAGAAATAATCTCTTTTATCTCAAAACAATAGCTACATTTGGTATTAATACAGTAATTAAAGAATAATAATATTATATTGACAGTGGAATAATAATATTATATTGACAGTGAGTGTAAAATTATATTTAAAAGACTAAAATGAACATAATTTATGTAATTATTGTGAAAAATTAGGGATAGTTTTGTAAAAAAACGGAGAACTTGTTATCAAAAATGAAAATGAGACTATTGTTTTGGAACGGAGGAAGTAAGTTTTTGATATTTTTGTCATTTGATTTTATGTATAAAATAATTATATATAATTGTATGTTTGTAATTTAAATAAAACTTATGAGTATTTAAGTAATGTATAATTATTTTTACTAAAAAAATAAAATAAAAGATACTTTTTAATAGGACAAATAAAATTATAAAAAGAATACTTTTAATTAAAAAAAATATATTTTTTTTTACTGTTTCAAATGAGTTGTCGTAAAGAAACTCACTGCCATTGTATAAGCTACAATGTATACCTAAATGATATGTTTAGTTGGTTATAATATATTTATGAGAAAATTATTTTTTTAGTCTCGTACATTGTTATTTTAGCATCATAATAAACTTTGTATTGGATTAATTCTATAATTAAAAGAAATTGGATAGAAATGGTCCTCATGAGCCGGAGATTGTATCGATAACTCGTAGACATTCTTTGAAGATCATTTATGTCAAAAAATTTTAGTTATGAGATTAATCTTATACAAATACTAATCATAGTTCTAAAATAATTTTAAAATATTTTTCATGTATCATCCACACAATCTCCAATATGTCACAACTCACAACCCTGTCACGTCAGCAACTCTGTCATTGGAGACATTTCTGTCAAATTTTTTTTTTTTTTAATTGTGAAAATAATTCAATATAAAATCTAGTTAAGTTATGATCATAAAATTATAAGAGATCATTCCTTAGATTTAAATTGGGAGGGCGCCAATTATGGTGTTGATTGTATATAAACAGACAACATGAAATATATTTTAAATATATTCTATTCATCTTACATATTATGACACGATTTCTTTTGTATCAAGTCATACGTCTTATATTAATTTTATTTTTTTAAAAAAAGAAATACACATTTTAATTATATTTTAAAGATTTTAATTTATAATATATAATTTTAATTATACTAATTATTTATATTAATCATAATTTATAATTATTTATATTAATCATAATCTATAATTATTTATATTATACTATAATTATTTTTATTAATACATTTTTAATTATTTAATAATCATGCTCTTTAAAATTTTCGTGTTTACAGTAAACCATAACACCATATCTCAGATGGAGGGAGTAATATAAAGAGAACATATAAACTAACCGTATATAACAATAATCATACTATATTACAATTGATATTATCACATAAGATATTAATAAGATACACACAAAATAGAAAAGATGCTATGTTCTTTGGAGGTTTTTTCACAAATTTTTACTATTAAGATATTTTGTCTTAAAAAAAATATCAAATCAAATAATTACTTTTTTTTTTTATATTTTACTACAATTTTATTTTACATTCAAAATATCACATAAACATCTATTTATATCATATCAAACAACTATTTTGATCTGAATTTTTACTATTAAAAAATTCAATCCCAAATATTAAAATATCCAAACCCACAAACAAACACACCCAATTGAAATATATGTATTTTGCTATTGTTTCTAATTAGTAAATGAAAATAAATCATTTCAATTTTTTTTAAAAAAATAAATGAGCTAATATAGACTTGTGTAGCCAAACATAGGGTAGGATTGGGAAATCATGAGAGTTTCTGTTGTGCCTAAATATTAAAACAATGACATCAAACTAATTCTTAGATTAAAATTTGAATAAACTTCATACATTTTACACATGAGATTAAATTTATTATCTTTCTATATTAAATTATTGAATGATCCACAATACACAAGCTAAGGTTGAATTTTAATCATCAAGCAGTGCAAATTTATCATTCAAAATAACATCGATTTGCAGGGTATTAAGTTCGGCCGGGAGTTTACCCAGTGCGCATTTTCGAGTATAATAAAAATAATAATATAATTTTTAAAATGTACATATATATACAACAAATGTATTGAACTACATTTATACATCATTGCTAAATTCTCTTTTCAACACCCAAACCTATAACCGGATAAAAATATTTTTTTTTTAAAAAAAAGATATTCTAATAAATAATTTTATTATTTATCTCATACAGTTTTTATTAAAAATATAATATTTTTTTATCATAAAAACCACATCAACATTCTATTAAACCGAAACTCAAATTGCCACCTCCCTCAATTTTAAATCAAAACCAAACAAACTATTTATCGGACTTTACCTGATGTATATAATTAATACCAATTGTTTTATATAAAATTTCTTTCCAAGTTCGATCGACGCCCCATTCAATGCAAGATTGTGTTATTGTGATAACAAAATGAATCATAATATCATTAGAGAATGGGATAAGTGATCGAAGCACCCGTGACAACCACACATGAATCTTACGTGTTGTGTTGCTCACAACATAATTGACAGTCGAAAATAAAAATGGGTTTTTTTTTTTTTTTTTTCTAAATAACTCATCTTCGACAATAACCTTATTTAATGTTTTCTCCCTTTAGATTGTTTGTAGTAATATTAACATAAAGTCATTCCTTTAGAAATGCTTAGGAAGCCTCCGAGATATCATGTAATTAATTACTTCATCTGTCCGAACTAATTATACCATAACGTCTGGATAAAAAGAATAAAAAATAATACTCCCTCCGTCCCAAACACCCCTGCAACATTTTTTTTTTGTATGTCCCAAACACCCTGCAATATTTCCAAAATAGGAAATAATTAATTATATTTAATTTCTACTCTACACTTTATTCCCTCGCACCATCCAAATAAAAAAATATATATATATTTCTCTCTCCATCACATCACCTAATTTCTAAGTTATCCTACTTAATACTACCCATCTAAAAACCCGTGTTAAAAGCAAATGTTGCACCTTGTTTGGGACGGAGGGAGTAGTATTTTAATATAAAAGTAAAATATATAAAAGGTAAATGTGAAATATTATTAAAAAAAATTTATAGAATAAATAATAAAATAGTGGGATAAATTGATTATTATGTGTTAAAATATAAATAATGAAATTATTGTAAAATAAAATTATTTACTATGAATGAATTATGTGTAAGTTTTTGACAAGAGAACAACTATATAAAGGGCCATTTTAATTTACATTCATTAAGGTGGTGACCGCCATACCTAATTCAATATTTTTGTAGCATTGGCATAAGTTGTTATTAAAATTTAAAATCGATTTTGAGTATGCAATTAATATAAATTGCCCCACAAATTGAATTAATGTAACTTTAATTGGGTAATGAATTCATATTATTTTTCAAAGAAATTACTAAAAATTTATTTCACAAAAGTTAGGATAGTGTCACATAGAGTTGCCGCAAATTAAATTCCCCTATTTAATAGCCTTGAATTGGTGACGGAAGCTATTTTGGGCACTCAACAATAGAAATGTTTTATGGAATAAAAATGGACATTGAGATGGATAGATTAGGCAGTTGACTTGCACCATATTGATTCGATCAAGTTAGTACATTTGATTTACAGAAATACATTGTACTCTGTTATATTTTGTTCGTCCCATAACAAATTATTTATTTTTGTATTTTAGTCCGTCTCATAACAAAGTATCTATTTTATTTTTTAATAATTGTACTATCTACCTAACATTACAAATGCCCTTACAACTTACAATATATTACACAAATGTCATTATCTTTGTATCACACAATACTAATAAGTTTCTTTTAGTTATTTCTACTTTATTCATACTATATTCTAATATAATACTAATATTTCTAAAATTTCGTGCAAAAAGCAAATTGATACATAGTTATGGAACAGAGGAAGTATACAAGTATGTAGTATATGAATTATATATATATATATTGTGCTATAATTTGTTTACTGTGTTAAAATTTAAAAATATTGTACTGCATGAAATTATATAAGTATTTTCAAAATATATGATATATATTATATTAACATTTATTATATATGTATTGCTGATATGTATTGAATTTAGTTTGTCACTTTGTTGAGTTTACAAGGAGAATCCGGAGGTGCGGAGTGACCTCGGCCCAACGATATAGAGTATTGGGTTTTGGAGTTGATATTGGACTGAACTCTTTTGATGTGTTCTCTTAGTTTATTTGAAAAATTAGAGATATGAAATCTAACGTAGTCGT